ACACACACACACACACACACACACACACATATTTATCTATGTGCAGCACTTTCTCTATCACACATCAGTCACACACTGCCCCCACAGCTGTCTGGGGCAATTTGGGGTTCAGTGTCTTGCCCAAGGACACTTCGGCGGTATAATGGAAAAATAAACTCCTTCTCATTTCCTCTCACAGTACCTCCGTCCCCAATTGCGCCACCGCAGCTGCTGCGTGCTGGCTCCACTTACCTGATCATCCAGCTCAACACCAACTCTATCCTGGGAGACGGCCCCATCATCAGGAAGGAGATTGAGTACCGCGCCAGTCAGTCTCCATGGTCGGAGGTGCATGGGGTCAACATGGTCACCTACAAGCTTTGGCACCTCGATCCGGACACGGAGTACCACATCAGTGTGCTGTTGACTCGGCCTGGAGAGGGAGGAACTGGACCTCCTGGCCCGCCACTTGTGAGCAGGACAAAGTGTGCAGGTGAGCTCATAGATCCTCACACACAGGATGGAGTTGCCTGATGTCTCCAATCTTTTGGCCTGATTCTCTTTCAAATTGTTATCTTGAGATTCCATATAGTCCATAGTTACTACTAATCAGAGGACACTTCAGCATGGCGACTGAAGGAGCCAGTAATCTAACCAAATACCTTCTAGTTAGTGGAGGACCCACTCTACCTTCTCAGCCTGTAGAGGCCTGAAAACATGTCTAACAGAAATATATATATATGACACCTCCAATTCATCGTGGCACCCCGTGAAGGGCCCCAACCCCCAGGTTACTGTTCCTAACATAAGGTCAAGGTTTAGCTTAGGTTTAAGTTCATGTCAACTACACAGCCATTCACACAACAGAGCAGTGATTTTGATGCTTGACTCCAAACATGACAATGCTTTTGCTCCAGCGATACTGTGGCCAGCTGCTGCTGCATGTCAAGCTGAAAGCACATCATCCACTCCTCAGCTCTCATCCATGTGTTATTCTTGAGATCGTAGAGTATTGTCTGCTTTATCACTCACATCTTTTCATCACCAGAAATGTGCATCTATATCTGGATCTTGTAGTATGTTGTGATGTTTATAGAGATAACTGTTGAGTATATTCCCATTTAGGGATTTGTGTTTGTCTCACAAAGAATAAGTGTTTTTTTTTTCTTGATTGGAAAGGGACATTACTCTGAAAGGACCCATTATGCAATGTGTAAAGCGATTCAGGGAATCACAGCAGCCACTGTTTAGGTGATGCATGACCCAGAGCCTGAAAAGGGGAATATATTGTGTTGAACACCTGGCTGTTCAGTGGAATCCACAAGCACGGGGCAGCGACCTGCACCAAGAGACTGATCTGTGATTTTTCGAATTTGCATCGGCTTACGCATGTAGAGTAAAATAATATAATAATAATAATAATATTTCCTCCTTAAATTCAATGGAGTCTTTTCATTAAAAATCCTGACACCAGTCTTTTACACAACTTCAGTCTTTCATTATGAGGCTGCATCTGTCATGATAATCTGTTAAACTCAAACAGAAGAGGAACAAATTCTGACTCAGTCGCTGTGCGTACTTATCTAAGAAGAAAAGACACATTCGCTAACACTGGAGTTCTCTGAACTCTGAAGCTGAGGCGAGTGAAAGGGAGACTTTTCTTTGCTGCAAGCATGGTAATACTGGTTTGATGGTTATTTAAAAGATAACAGCTGGCTGACTAGAGTAGCTATTGCCTGGAGCAGGTTTCTTTGGTATCTACTGGAGAAGACAGAAATTTAATATGGCAAGTACGATAAATGGACTAGAATTTGTGGGTTACAGTGGTGAAGACATATTGATCACATATACACTGTAAAAGCTTGGAAAACACAGTGAGGGACATATAATACTACACATAAATTATGCATTTTAAAACCCACATGATTAAGTTGTAGGGCTTAAGCTAACTATTATAATAATTAATTATTAATTCAGCTATTTTGTGGATTTGTCTATAAAATGTAAGAGAATAGTGAAAGTTATAATTTTCCATATCCAAGTGCAACATCTTCAAATTGCTTGTTTTATTCCAACAACTGTCCAAACAGAGGATGTTCATTTTACTGTCATATATACAAGAAAGGCAACAAATCGTTATATTTAACAGCCTGGAACCAGCACAAGTTTACCATTTTCATTGGAAAAAGAAAAACACCAAATTGGTTATCAAAACAATTCTTCTTCTGCCTCTCAACAAATAAAATCTAAATAATAGATTTATTGTTCTAGCTATATTTGTGTTTCCTTTTTGTTTGTGTTTTCTGCTTTTAGAGATTAGATTGATTATTTTTTACTTTAATCTGTCGTTCATGTGAAGGTCTTCTTTACATCAGCCTGAACATTTTGTTCTGTCTGCTCACGTCTCCGCTCCTTTGTCATCCGTCACAGTGCAGAGTCAGAACACCCAGGGAGAAGAGCAGGACACCAGCCGGCCGCACCCAATGCTCACTGTGTTAAACTCAGTATACGTGCGCACAAATAGAGAACTCCTACAATGCAGATGCATTACATTACTGCTGCCTGCATCTGCAATGTGTGCATCATGGTCACATAAAATGGAGAGCTGTGTGTTACCCAAAGGCAGTCTGTGGATTTGTGTCTTCCATGGTCATCACTCTTTTCTATGCCCACCGGTCTTCCTGCCACACACCATCCCTCACACATCCCCCCACCCTGCTCCACTAGAGCTTTGCTGCCCCCCCCCACCCCACATCCCTCTCCAATGACATATTAAAGCTACTCTCCTCTCCCAACAGCCAAAAACACCCCTCATTCATCAGGCACCCTGAGTGAGCTCAAAGCCCTCTCTCCCCGATCCCTGCACACCTCTCCCCAACTCGAGAGATACAAGAAATTCACAATAAATAAATAAAAAACTCTGACAGCATAAGGGGGAGAAGAAGAGAAGGGTTAGGCAGGGAAGGCTGTGGTGTGACACAGTGTGTGTGTGTGTGGAAGAGAGAGGGCGTAGTTTTTTCAAAGTGAGAGACTGAAACGGGGAAAACCAAGCGAGTAGATGTGCGAGAGGTGAAGCGAGAGAGGACTCACAACGTACGGAAATTGCTTTCACAGTCGCTGGTATCAGTTCTTCTGAAAGTCACCAAACTCAGCCTTTAATAACGTATTTACATTTCAACCACTGTTACATTAGCTTGTTCAGCCATGTGGGGGATACGTTATATTGCTGTGTTTGCTGAGCTGTTAAACGGGGGCATTTAGATGCAGGACAAGCTCAATACAGAGGAAATATAGGGGAAATTTATTTCAAATAATTGAATTTTCAATTTTAAAGTTTTGTTGGGTCTTTATTTGTCATATAGCGACAAATCTAGAAAGTAGGGGGTTGATTAGTTTCTCACATTTACTGAAGCGTGTCTTTTACACTGAGCTGCATCCTCCACCTGGTGTTTCTCACCTTTGTGAACCACCAGGAGAATCTATTCACCATCTTGTTCCCAGAGCTCCCCCTGACCCAACCTCCAAACCATCTGGTCTACACCACTCCCACTGACCCCGCATATTACTACACTGAATCCTGGCTGCCAGCCCCATCGTTGTTGGCCTTATTAGGCTTAAGCACGACAAAATAGATGGTGGGTTGTCGTGGTGATTTCACAGAGGTGGTATTTATGCAGGGGAACTGAAGGGATATTTGGATCCTCTTTATATTTAGGAGAAAATTGAATTTCCCCACCAAAAGCTGTGTCCGGCCACTGTGACTAATCTCACTCTTCCACGGTCATGCTGAATATTCCCCCTTCCTACCAAACACGGTGGCCAACCCAACTCCATCGTACACGTTCACATCATCGCAGAGCCGAGCTGTCCTCATGCGGGTGCTGTAAAACTAATGGCCGTGAATGTGAACATGGTCTCCGCCTGGCTCTGATGGCCATCCAGGTGTGCTTGATGAGCCATTGCTGTGATTATCAGCACGGTGCATTAGCACAGCTTGAAGCCTCTCAAGTAAATCACGGAGGAGAGGCGAGCATTTGTACTGCAGGTGGTCCCCAAACCACGTTAATGGGCTTCCACCTGCTGCTAGGTCAAGGAACCTTCTGGCAGGCCCCTGCCTGCGGAGCTCTCGGTCTGTTATAGAGGGAGCCAGCAGTGAAACCCGACTAAAATTAGGCACATTAGGAACACAAGTGTTATGCCTTTCTTGGCATGTCGTTCATCATGTCCTCCATTTGGAGCCAGAATTCCCTATTTGTGCAAATTTGGGGTGTTTGGATTTATGTGCGCTTGTGTTTTTTTTGCTTGCACATGGATAAGAGCCTGGATGTCTATATAAAAAATTGTCTCCCGTCTGACACAGTCAGTTAAGATTCCTCTACGGATGCAGCTCTGTTCCGTCCTGCTGCTGTCCAATGTCACAGTTTTCGGGGAGATAATAAACCAGAACCTGTCACATCCACTCCGACTTCCAGTCTCCAAGGATCAACATGGTGCTCTGGGCTTTTGGCCATGTTTGGGCGGCTGCAGTTTTCACGACACAGGGTGCCAGAGAATGGGTGCCCATGGCACACAGACAAATAAGACGAGGCAAGGGGAAGGAACTGGCACAAATGTCCACTTTGAGAAAACCTACAATGAGCACACTGTGGCCTCTTTGGCTTTGCTTTCATTAACTCAGCAGTTAAATGCCTCTCTGTTTTTAGCTCCCAGACTGTGCAGACTATCAATTGCACCATTAAGACAATCCTCTGTTACATTGAACAATGGAACATTAATATTTCTTGCTGGGAGCAGTCTACTACTTTTTGATTATGGAGCCCACCCATTTATCTGCAGTCACATCACTCTGGATGAGGTTCAGATTAATGCTTTGCTCATATTCCCATCTCGTGTGAGACGCTAGACAGCAAATGAAAAGAGAAAGCTGGTGACAGCAGAGGCCTTCAGCATAGATGGGAAGTGTCATAAAATTTTACTTTAAAATAATTGCTCTACCGCAGGCAGTAATAAATGCATAAGAAATTGGGCATACGGCTGTAATGTCTGATAATGTTAGCATGTTTAAATATATGTGTGTGTGAACATGAACACATAAAATAGAGAGAGAGAGAGAGAGAGAGAGAAGAAGGGAGCAGAGAGATAGACAGTTATATAGAGAAATGGCTGAATAATCGTATGATATAAAGCAAATGTGCATATCTTTGTTTTTATGTGTCCTTTCACATCTACAAAGCACCTTTCACATTCATTTTCTTAGATAACTCTTGTTTTAGTGCATTAGCTCCTGCTCAGTGATGCATTAGCCACCTTATTTAAGTTCCTATTACCAATCTGTGCTGCGGCAAGAATCCCACTGAGTCAGTGAAGGAATGAAGACCTTGGCCAGTAACCTCAAACTCCACTGATCCCTCTCTGTACCCCGTATCTCTGCTGTCATACCTTGCCTCCCCAGCTCATTACTCAACATGCCCTATTAAAGAATAAATCCATACAATACATTATGTAGCATATTGCTTGACAAAAAGGCATTGATTGTGTTATGGCCACCGATAAATGCCTCCATTGATACGGAGGATGTCCTTGGCTTAACTCAGCCTATCCTGAGTTTCAGACGTCCTCCTGAACACTGACTGGTCTGTGCCTCTGCGTATAGAGGCTCTCTGTGTCTTTCAGCCGGCGATAACATTTGAGGAGGATATCAAACACTGAGTTGTTGCTCTATTTTACTCTGCATCACAGAAAGTCAGGGTTAACCCGGCACTGACCAGAATTAACACGGTGCCTTCTAAAAATATGCGACAGGCCATCGTGATGACCCAGCTGTAAATGTGACCAGCAGTAGTGGATGCCCTTGTATAACTCTGGCATTTTTGTGTGTGGATAAAACCTCGGGAGGAAAGAAGTATAACTACTGGATAGCCAATTTGCTTTCTGACATGGAGGAGGGGACTGGTGGGAGCATGAAGGCAACCCGCAGCCTGTCCGATTAATTAGCGCAATTGGCATGAGTTCCTGCTCTGCCATGGGGATGTGGGAGTGTAATGCTGGCAGTGAACAGTTGTGATGGGGCAGTACGGCCACACGTAGGAGGGGAACAAGTGAAAAACTGCCAGGGTTGTCCTGGGACATCAGTTACACTCTAATTTGCTGGGTGTTCTGTCTAAAATCTAATATTTGACAATAAAACAAAGTTACCTGTGTTTTCATTCTCTAAAATAGATTATTTTGCCTTCAGGACTTTTTAAATACCTTACTTGTTTTTTTTCATTTCTGCTTCCATTATTACAAATGTTTTTTCTTGTTTTTCTTCTTCAATCTTTCCTGCTCCCTCCCAGAGCCCATGCGTGCACTGCGGGGCCTCACAGCCACAGATCTCCAGTCCAGGCAGTTGTCCCTGCAGTGGGAGAATTTGGCGTTCAACCTGACACGCTGCCACACCTACTCAGTGTCCCTGTGCTACCGCTACACCACGGCAGGAGGTGGTGGCGGTCACAACACCACCGTGCGTGAGTGTCTGGCAGTGGAACACAATGCCTCACGCTTCACGCTGCGTGATCTGCCACCCTACCACGGCATCCATGTCCGCCTGTCACTGGCCAATCCGGAGGGGAAGAAGGAGGGCAGAGAAGTCACCTTCCAGACAGAGGAGGACAGTAAGTCCCAGGAGATAAAATATTTTGTTTACTGAATCAATGGTGCAGTGGTGTACATTTGATCAAGCTCTATTTAAGCACAATATTTGGTTAGCCTACTTGAGTACTTTGAACTTCAGCTTCACAATATTAAATATATATATATTTTTTTCTCACAATTATATGATATGATATAATTGTATGTCTAGATACTTTTGAGATTAAGATTTTATATATAATGTAATAAGATCATAAAACATTGCTGAAGATTGTGGCCCCTTATGAAAAGAACAGTGTTTACTTTGGGCCCCTTGTTAGATGTCCACATAATTGAGCAGTTCCGGCAGAGTGATTCCCCCTCTTAACTTCTCAGATGGTTCATTTACATAATTGGCCAGAAGAGGTAAAACTCTCCATGCAATATTTAGAAAAAACAAAAACAAGAATTTGAGTATAATCCTAAAAACTCCCAAGTAATCATTTCACAACCCTTCAGATTTATCTTTGACCCGACACTACACTACATTTAACTCTATTCAAGCAGTGATACATCAGTTTTAATATTATATTATCTTCATTTAATAATAATTAGTATGAAGATAACTTTCAAAGGCACAATTTTTCCACAATACTTGATGATAACACGTCTTCAGATTTAAAATGCAGGACTTTGACTTTTTAGATATTTTGAACATTTTGGTATTTGTACTTTTACTTAAGCAAAGGATCTGAATTAAGCTGCCCTCCAGCTCCATGTGCACTCTGTCTCAACCTTTAAAGCACAGAGAAAGAGAGAGAATTGTTTTATTTTAAATTGTGCTCTCATGGATTAATTTCATATACCAGAGTACCTCAAATTATTTAACTACTCCCATAGTCAATGTCAGAAAGGACATTGTCACGGCCCTTAGCTTTCTAAGAATCAGACCGATATTGTGACATTATCTTGTATTGTGATGTTTTTAAGCTTTTAGGTTTTAGTCAACATAAATCCACAGTGGTCCACAGTGGTTCAAATATCAATAACCACATATAAATCTAAAAAATATATATGTGGTAAATGTAATATTTCAAAAACTGTATGACAGGTACCCTAACACTTCTGCTACTTTGACTCCTCCTTACACATTAATACAGAGAGGATGACCACCTGACTGAGGCCGAATCAGCATCACAAAAGATTCTTTTCATTTTCAGAAGGGAAAACATTATATCTCAGAGTCCAGCAACCCAGAGATAGGATTTTGTGCTTATTTCTTATCTGCTATTATTCCTTTGTGCGGTAGCACATTGTGTGCACAGCGACTGTGTGAGAAATCAATTCTGCCATGAAAAAAATCAAAACAAACAAGATTGTTCTGAAATAGATATATACTGAGAATGATAAAAAAAGATCAGGTTTTTCTGAAGTGATAAAAGATGGAAAAAAGAAATATATACTTATAGTACATATCAATTATAAACGCTTTCCCCAAAAGCCTTAATAAGCAACTCTGTCCTACAGACTCACTCTATTCAAAAATAATGGTCGACTCAGCTGTTCGGCTCTTGCTTCAGCCTCAGGCCTGAATCTCGCATAACAGTTTCCCTCAGTGCAGCTCTCACGCAGACCGTAGGGACTGGAGCTGCTACTGAATGGCCCAAAAAACTGTTAACACAGTGTAAAGTTGGATGTTCAGTCAAGTTTGTGAGCAGGAGTCTGACATTTTCATCATTGCATTTCAATCCTGACAGAGGAATGATATGAAATTATAATATCCTTTTGATATATTTTCTGCCTCTTGTCTGTATTGTGGTTACATAATTGATGCAGTTCATAAATTAACTGTGTCCTTATCTGATGTCCTCAGCCTGCTGCTCTCGGGCTGTCTGAGCGTCTCATGTGGTGCATTGTTCTGAGCCGCTGTGACATTCACTTCTGTGATATTGACAGCAGAGGCTCACCATGGGATTAGTACTTGAAATTTCCCCGACAAATGTTTGTTCTGACATTTTTTTTTTTTTTTACAGTTCCTGGAGGCATAGCACCGGAGTCGCTCACCTTCACCCCATTGGATGACATGATCTTCCTCAAGTGGGAGGAGCCCGTCGAGCCCAACGGCCTCATTACACAATACGAGGTGGGTCCAGAGAGACACTCTTACTGAATTTCTCTGTCTTGTCACTGTCATGCACTGAGCTCCGGATCTTATCCTGAAATGATCCATCGAGGCTTTATGTGAGAGCACAATTGTCCATATCAGCTGATCCGGACATTTTTCCTACCAGCCCCATAGTAAAATATCCGGAGAATGTCCAAGTGAGCCCATGTGAGAATAGGATAGTCTCTGAGGACTTCACAGCGAACGACTGGACATGTCAATGACATTTCAAACATATGACTGACTCAAAAACTGAGAAAAACAAAAAGAATACAAACATCTTAGGATAAAAAAGAAGTTTCATACACGTAGAGGACCCCAAAAAAAAGTCAAGTGGGAAAGAGAACGAGATTCAAGAGCTTTTTGTGATGATAACCGATGTTGATGTGCTGTAAACAACATGTGACCTCCACAGCAGAATTTATACGATATGTCCTGCCTCCTGCTGCTCTACCCAGGCGCCAGCCCTCGACTAAATGCACTGGAGATTTTCCTGTTGTTGTGATCGTGTCTGAGTCGGACAATGTCCTGCTCCTTTCTTCATATGTGAAAGGAAAAGTTCAGAGGATGTTTGTCATAATTTTCCAGATATTTTCTGTTCATGTCTTCAAATAGCTTTAGAAAATCATTGATGATTGTAGAAAAGGGTTTAGGTGATGCATGCATTGAAGTAAAAGTAAACATGAACACTGAGTTAGCCTTAAGATTGGAAGTCCATTCTTCACCATGGAGACAGTAGTTGAAAGAAAATAGCTCCAATGAGCAGCTGTTCCAGAGCTCTCCGTCATATTGAAAAGTTTTCCTCTGCGGATAAAAATTGCCCAGTTGTCACTGAATTGACCTTTTGCGAGCCCCTCTCCCCCTTAGTGACTGTCACTACACCTGTCAAGGCTTCTCCTCTCACACAACACAGCAGCAGTTTACAAAGACCCACTGTGGCAGATTTACCACTTACACTCAAAACCTTTGAAGCAGTGGGACCTTGAATTTAGACAAAGACAAAAGCCGTATTATTATTCCTATTGCCAGCTGAAATGATCAATAGGGCATAAATTAAGAATAAAACAATATTGTTCTTGTATAACAGAGCGGTGATGAGAAGTTAAGGAAAAATGTGAATTATTTCATTCAACCATAACCATTTTGAGTTGAGTGGAAAAAGCAAAGGTTTGATTTTTGCTCATATTCATATTTTTCAACTCTATTTTTTACTTTTAATGTTAAAATAGAAAAAGATGAAGTCTAGTTAATACGTTTGTGGAATGCAGTGATTCGTCTGGAGTGTAGAGCAGAGAAGCTAACGTTGTGTTATTTTGGGTGAAATTATATTTCAGCTGATGCCCAAATTCTAAAATACTCAGCAACAGCACTTTAGCAAAACATCCACTTATAACTGGACACAATATTTATGGCAACACAACGATGATCTCAACTACATTTTTTTCCTTGAAATTAAATGTGTGTGTGCTTTTGTTGATTTCATGCCCATTGCAAAAATACCTTCTCTCTACTTGGTGAGCCATAATGTCAAGTGCCACTTTCATTGTGTGTAGTCACCAAACCTGCTTTATATTCTCCTTCTTTACCCAACGCTTTAATGCAAGGTGTGCTGTGCCTATATGAACAAAAGCAGCAAAGTTAAGATACGCTTCCCCTGACCTTGTGCATATGGCCTAGCACTTATTGCTGGTCCCGTCCCGTTAAAATAGAGGCCAGTGCCATTATTAAAATAAAAATCACTTGCACGTGTTGTGCTGTAAGCCCTCCATTTAGAGGATAATGATTTTTTATTTACTATTATGCTCTGCTAGTGGTTAGATATCCGTATGCCTGTCTACCTATCGTCAAACCTTTTTTCCTTCGCTGCTGTAGCAATGACGTTTCAAGGCTATTTTTAAATAGGATTACTGGTTTGACATATAAAGTGGGGCTGCACAGGGTTTTTTAGTATGTTGATCGCCCCTGTCTGACTGTGAAAGCTTTATAGAGAGCTGCAGAAATCCTTGTCATTTCTCTCAGATTAAACCATTGACCACTGCCTGAGCTCATCGACCACCATGCTGTCCTGTGAGTGCTCACTGCTCTGTGCACTGTCAGGCTTCTTAAATGTCTGCCTTGGTAGAGGAAGCACAGAGGTCTGTATGTGTTTAGTCACTGGACGGCTCATAATTCTATCTTCACGCTAAGGGGGCATGAGCAGGCACTAAACTCGTGGTAATCAGGACGGCCTTTGGTTTGGTTTGAGTGGCACCCCAGCGTGTTCATGTACAGGCATATACTATCCACAGCAAGCGTGTGTGCTCATTCCTTCAATGAAGTGAATATTTTCCGGCTTTAATGTACCGTATATCCCACTATGCCCACCCTTGTCTGATTGCAGCAAGGTCATCTCTTCTAGCTCTCCACTGCATGGAACTCTCATAGAAATTCTGATGAGTGTCATGCAGGCCAGGCAAATCACCTCTTGAGGAAACAGGCAAAGATTTCACTTTTTAATGACACTTGTGTACAACAAACCCAACACTTAAAAGTTTTGATTCAAACACTTGAATACACATTTTCACTCTCTGGTGTCCTTGATCTGTGACTTTTTATCATGCATCAATTAGTCCGAAAATAATTTGCCACTCACAGTACTTTTTGAAGATCTCGAGGTATGACTTTGACTCAACAGTGCCAATGCCAATCAGTTCCTCTTCATCTAAAACTATAAATCCACATGAGCAATTAAGCGCACTGATTTAGAGAAGCAAATTACTTTCTGAGTGCAGTGACTGATGTTCAGATTACTACTTATGTCAGAGCCATGATTGTTGATCAGTGTAAAACTGAAAACTCAAAATCTTAGCTAATGTGACTCAGATTTCCACCTTCTTCATTTTTTCCTCCCAACAGATCAGTTACCAAAGCATTGAGTCGTCTGATCCAGGTATCAACGTCCCAGGACCTCGGAGAACAGTGTCGAAGCTGAAGAATGAGACCTACCACATGTTCTCCAACCTCCACCCTGGAACCACTTACCTAATCTCCGTCCGAGCTCGCACAGCCAAGGGCTTCGGCCAGACCGCCCTCACTGAAATCACCACTAACATCTCAGGTACAAGCACCGCTGACTAACCGAGCAAGGAGGGCACGTGAAAGCCGCCATAAAACGGGGAGCGTCTCTGTCGGGGTCTGCTCTCTGTGCCATCACTGATGCAGCGTGCAGCTACAACACCAGACTTCACCCACCACGTGCTATAATTAGGATCTGGATTTCTCTCTCTTGACCTCAGTATCTTTCCCCCTTTCTCTCTCTCTCTCGCACTCTTTCTCTCTCTTTCTCTCTCTCCCTGAGGCAAAACTACTGCTCCGAGAGTGTAAGAACTATTTTTCTATTGCCTCTCCAAAATAGTGACACACTGTCATCTCTCAGTTCTCAAGACATAAATTAACTCGAAGGAAGCAGAGGAACGCCACAGAGGAGATGCCGCTGTGTGTTGTGTATAAAGGAAGATGCAGTACATTCTCGGGACCAGAATGTCACCTCCGAGAGTCTCAGAGCTTATTACTGGTGATAGAAATCCAGCTTTTGTGTTTTCATTTCCTTTTAATGATGCATCTGTGCTTGTTAAGGGATGGGATTACACCTCTAAGGAGTGTACAACAAGGCCACTCCCACCCTGCCTCGCTCACACATTTGCCCTCTCCCTGCTCCTTCTGGCCCCTATCTCTCTACAGAGAGTTTGCTTAATTACAGATTTAGTGCGCAATCACTGCTGACTGGCTGTATGTCAGACCGAGTGCTGGCACAGAGTCAGACCGCAGATGGAGTCCAAGAGTCTTTGTAGATCATCCTCAACCTCCACCACTAGCCCACGGTGCAGAACATTCACTTACACTGAGCGTCTCTCAAATCTGCACTGACAGCTAGCAAACACTGAACACCTTCAACAGCTACTACTGTCAGCATCTTCAAGCAATACCCACCGCAGTGCATCCATCCACACACATTTCCTCACATTAACACAAACATGCACATAGATGGGTGCGACACCGAGGCCGATACACAATTACCCTTCAAACAGACTCTATCTGGCAGCAGGCTTCAAACCCTCTTTTAGTTCCGCAAACCGCAACAGACCTTTAATGTCAACAAATGCACATTCAGGTTTCCTTAATGCCTCACCTTAATTGATGTCAGCTCTTTTCTGCTGAGGTATTAACAAACCGCTTTTTTTAATATAAGCATTGATTCTTCATGAATAGTTTGCTCTCCTCCCCCTCACTAATTGACCAGTGGTATAAAAAGAGAAATGTGCTGCCACATCTCTGGGGAGGAGCACAGCTTTAGCTAAATCCTTTCAAATGAGAAGCCCATTCAATTAAGCCCCACTTCCATGACTTTTAATTGGACTTGTCTCCAAGACAACTAGGAGGGAAATTCCAACAGTCTGCTTAATATGAGGATATGGGCAGTGGGTATATTAGCACTGTTAGCCATTTATGTGGGGAAGGAAGGGACAAATCTTTGCCAAAATTCAATGGTCTGTCAGGTTCATGAGACATTGAGGGTCTGAACTTTTATATCGAAGGAGAAAGAGAGAGAGGGAGAGAATTAAAAATTAATTAAGGAAGTCTGAAATAGCACTAGGTAAAAGCCACATGCACATTTGTTTGTGTGTGAATGTGCCTTAATTATTCTTTGTGTCTTCAGCTCCCACATTTGATTACGGAGACATGCCGTCCCCCCTGAGTGAGACTGAAAGTACAATTACTGTCCTGCTGCGTCCTGCTCAAGGTCGAGGGGCACCTGTCAGGTGAGGAAACCTTCTTAAATCTACAGATCAGATCTATTTTTTGTTACAAAACACAACTTTTTAAAGGTGCACACAAACTCTGTATCCAGCACATACCAGGTGGTGGTTGAAGAAGAAACTGTGAAGAAAGTGAAGAGGGAGATTGGGCTTCAGGAGTGTTTTCCTCTGCCCATGTCTCACGGTGAAGCCCAGGCCAGGGGCACACCACACTACTACACAGCCGAGCTGCCACCCAGCAGCCTGCCAGAGGCCAGTCCCTTCACTGTGGGGGACAATCACACTTACAACGGCTACTGGAACAGCCCTCTGGATCCGCGCAAGAGCTACCTTGTCTACTTCCAAGCTATGAGCAACTTCAGAGGGGTGAGTGATTGTTGAGTCCCTACCCGTGGTGCTGCAGATCAGCTGCAGACGTTGACATTCAGAGTAGTTCTGCGCCATTGTTGTTAATGAGTGTCTGAATTCACTAATACTGTGCTTGACACTGTAGGACAGTTGGCATTGTCTGGGCTCACAACCCTTGAAAGAGTATTTACTGCTCTGAATGGGTTTGTAAGATGGAAACATACTTAGCTGGCAGTGTAACTACTTAAAATTATAGATGTTTGTATGTGCTTTGATTCTTTACAAAAAAAAGATGTCTGAAATGGAGGATTACTTGCATATATTATTTACAGCCGGAAAAGCTGTGATTAGCTAGAGGTACTCAACAATATACTTCATTTATCTTTTATTGTCTTTCCTTTATTCTGTTCAATTCCCTTCTTTCTGTCCTGATACCTCATTGGATGGTCTTTTTTATTATTTTCTGTATATACTGCTCCATAGTTTCAAGATAATTAGTTACTAGGGAAAGTACCTTTTGAGATAGGAGGGGAAAGACTTCCACACTTTAAAAGACCCCATGATTCCAGTGTATCAAATCTAGCTCTCCTGCCAATAACCACAAAAAAACTAAGGCATCACACTGTGCATCTGTAAGAGCAAACACTCTAGGAACTTCTCCAGATAATGTGAGTACCAGGTCTGGTCATATCTCCTCACTACAGATTACAGTGTTTCAAAAAGCGCAGACGAGAATTGTACAAGATTTGGGCAGCTGCAAAACATACAGTGCAGGGTTTCTTCCTGGTGACAGCATCAGATGATTTTATCTATTCCAGGGAACATCCTGCCTAGTGTGCCCCTGTTGAGGTGTAGTCTCTGTGAAACCTGAAATAGCAATGAACCATCTGTAATACATATGGATGCTGAATGACTTGTTGAAACTGCAGAGTGCTGTACTTCCTCAGAAATTTCCATCCCAAAGTCTTAGGAGATAGATATCCCTTTCACTTCTTAATCCCTTACTGAATGACAATTGAGTGGAGGAGACATTGTGGGAATACAGCACAGACTAAGCGACAGAATCTGTTTTATACTCAAATACTTTTTTCTTGGTTACTTTGATACCCAATAAAATGCCCTTTGAATATTAGACGCCTAATAATAGCGTAAAGCATTTGGCAAGAGCAATCTGAGTTATGTCTCTCTAGTTCCTAGGCCCAGGGATTGGATTGCTCCAGATGAACGATAAAATAATTTTGTATAATTCTTGAAAAAAATATTTTGTGTTAAAAACAGCTGTTTGAAAGAAGATCAAAAAATCTGCCAATCATTGTAAAGTCTATAAAGAGCTACAGAGCCACAACCATTGAATTGGATCCATTTTTTGTCCTTTTGTCCACTGCTGATTTCAGATTGTATTTAAAAAAGTCTTACTGATTACGATGTAATGAACTAAATTATATGAAAATGAGTCAAACTCCATGAAGTGTGCCTCAGTGGTAACTGGAAATACAATGCTTTCTAACAAGTTGATTGTATAACCTAATATTTATCAAAAAACAGTGATTACATCGAGGGCTCTAGGGATGGAAAGGTCAGCTTGAGTAAGATGCAAAATAAAATTATCTGCTTACAAAGTTAATTTGAGGGTCTGGCCTCCCCTTCTGACTCAATCTGTTGCACTCCTTCTTGCTTCAGCCATGGGGATAACAAAAAGAAGTGGGGCCCACGGACAGCCCTGTCTGGTAACTGGGTATTTGGCAAAAAAACAAGTCTGTGGTGACGCATTAAGGATTTTAATCCAAGAGCAAAGCCTCATTTACTTGAATATGTGAACAAATAGTAATATTACTGTGAGTGTCAAAAGAAAGAATTACCTGCAGAGACACATAGAGAATGTTCCATAATTTGTGTAAATCACCAGAAGGGTCGCCCTGAGATGAATCCTGACTGATCAGGATAAATTGGTTTGTGACCTTATCAAGCTTCGCTCGAGAGCAAACTTGATTCATTCCTCAGGGGATTCTTGCCCTTTGTATGTAAAACTGGAATTAAACCTTCTGTCATGCTCTGCAATCATGACTCCTCTAATGTTTGTAAGCACTTTGCGATAGCGGCTCATTTCTGTGAAAACAATTCAATTTGAAACACAAAGGGTATCAATAACTTATCCTTCATGTGATTCCGTTTCTTTCACTAATACAGACTGATCAATGTTTTCTTTTGCTTGTCCACGAAAACATTAATTTCAGTTTTTAATCACTGGAGGTGTATAGCGCTCTTTTGTAGAATTACTTAACAACAAATTGTGATCAGTGATTACGCCGAAAGCTGTTTGTCCCTCTGCTATGCAAGTAGCACCAACAGATCGACTCTGTTGATTGCAGAGTATTTTACCAGCCTTCTCCCCATTCAATTTATTTTTACCCCAATCTGAATCTGTGGTTTAAGTGTGGTGTTCTGTTTGCAGGGATACGCTCTTCATGTAGAGATCGGTCAAAGTGAATGTCCATGATCAATAGCTTTTATTTCAGGGATAGACAAATAAACCTTCTCTGCTCTTACTTTATTTCTGCTGGAATTGGAGGCTATTATCTGGTCCAATAAAAGGGTAATCTGCTGTCTTTACATTCACATCTGGAGAAAGACATCTATACAAACCATACAAACTTATTGTCAGCTAATCCCTTTAGATTGAATAGTTTTAGTGTATTTATCATTTGTAAGACAAGGTTAAATGCAGAAAGGGCTGTGATCTGAAATCATTATTTCCTAATATCCACAAGAGGGTCGCATTGTTTATCCGTAAATAAGAAATTGATTCTAGTATAGAACTTGTGCCCAGTGGAGAAAATGAATGCTGCCAGAATAGAGGATTTTTTTTTGTATCTCCAAGCATCAATAATTCCACTAAGTCTGAAGGAAATTCTTCATGCAACAAGCAGACTTATTTAGTGCTCCACAATTGGGTTTTGACCGGTCTAAGTGTGATACACGATATTACTTTATGGGTCTAAAATATAACTTAAGAATTTCCCTCTTAAATTAAAGGAGCAGCTTGTGCCTTCGGTCTTATTCTCTAACATAAGAAATTACCCAACAGGCCAGAGTTCAACTAGATCAGGAGAAACAATGTCTTTCTTCCAAATTGGTCTTTTTTCTTCAATTTCACCACAAATTCTCTGACTGACTGTTCATCTTCTGGTCTCTACCTCAGAGGACAATGGTTATGGTCAAAAGGTGGTGCATTCTCCAGTCCCAGAATCTCTTAAAGATTCAGTGTGTAGAATTTAGTGACATCTAGAGGTGAAGTTGCATGTTGCAGCTGAACACTTCTCAGTTCATCCTCCCCTTCCAAACATGAAAGAGACCTGTGGTGAACTTCAGTTGTCATGAAAACTCAAACGGTTTTAGTTTGTTTAGTTTGGACGACAGTAAAAACATGGCGGCCTCCGCAGAGAGGACCCCCCCCTCCATGTAAATCCTTTCTACGGTAAAGAAAACAACAATTCATACAATTTAGATGAAACACACCAGTGAAAACAGGGTTAGGTCGTTAGGGTAGCACCAGATAGAAATGCTTTCCCTCCTCCCATCTCTCGTTGACACCGATTATTCACAGATGGTATGGTCGGGACCTTGCTTCTTTTGTTCTGAATGACCAACACCCAGTTTCAGATGGATTCCTCTTGATGCAGGGAAGTAATGACCTTGTATGTGACTGCTCTCTGCCTCCTCCGAGGAGGTCACACAAACCGTTAACAAGGTAACCTTGGTGCCTACTTGCTCCTTTCTTTTTTTGAATTCCTCCCACAGCTCTTGTCCTTGCCCTCTTGATGTTGTTGGCCTGCGTTTCAACTGTCTTGTCATTTTTCTAAAGAAACCCAGTTTTCAATCATCTTATCTTGCAGAGAATAGTTACCTCACCCCCTCTCTGTCAGCTCATTTGCAGTAGCACCTGTGCAATGCTTTGTTGCATTTCCTGTTTTGCCTTGTGTCAAGAATGTTGCATCAGCATCCCCAGAATGATTTCAGGTATCCAAAATTGCTCAGAAATTGTTTCAAAAAATTCAGTTCTTGACCTTTCACATGCCATCGGACTGCCTCAACCAGAAAAACCAGTCTGTGTCCATTTCATGGACGACAAATTTGACGAGTAACAAGCGTTTGACTTTTTAGGAATTTGAATTGTGTCACCTAATTTGAATAAGTTACACGTCTTGCTGCCACAGCGTAGTTGCTTTACAACACTCATCAAGGTTATGCCTTCACTACTGTCTGTTTGTTTATACATTTTTTGTTAATTAGCAGGATTTTGCAACTTCTCTAATGGACTATTACCACAAAAATTGTTTGAAGGATGTGGTGCCCATCAGAGAGGAACCCAATAAATTCTGATGTGGAACCAGAGCAGGGGGCTGAGCTGTGAATTTTCTATCACATTCTTTAACATTGCAAATAGGACATTTTCACAGATTTCCCAGGGAATCACTCTTTGAACTTGATGGCGGAGGTATGTGCTCTAGAAAGTGACACTCTATTTAATATTTAAAGAAACCCTGTAGACCAAGGTGACACTAAATAATCTCTGCATTTTTATCAACTTTATGACTCTTGGTTTTAGCCGGCAGATGGTGCATTATTTCACACTGTTGACCGATCTTGAGCACACAAAGCACCTCCAGACTCCCGTCACACCCAGAGGACGCCACATTACCTTTTCCAAATTCTATTAGAGGAAGAGCTGCTTCCTGGGTGAGGCAATTACTTAAAGATAATTGGGCCCAGGTGCAGATGATCAGAGGCAGAAGCTGCTGCTTCAATATTCACAGACGGAGGCAACGTAGCTGAGAAATGTTGCAGCAGGTAACGCAGCCCTCTGAGATCATTTGCTGGGAATATATACATGCATGCTATGTTCCTGCTCTGTCTGACTTTTTGAGCCCTGTCAGTAGATGGTTACTTTGTGATCGAATCACTGCATTTTCCTTTTATTGCTCTTTTTTCCCCTCCATTGGACATCTCTGTACAAAATCTCATGAAGGAAGAGCTGGGTGGTTCATCCCCACCAGTAGCATCTTTTTCCAGCCCAGTGGAGAAACACACGGAGGGAGTGCAGCGTGAGCACTTCACACAACTCGACAACTAAGCATGGGATTAGATAGGGGGAGGCCTGGCTTTACTGGCGGATGGGATTAGGTTTTGTTTTGCCTGGCAGGTGGCCAGCATTCATGACCCACAATAAGTGGACACAGTGCCAGATCACACAGCCAGCACTGTCCCTGGGCCTTCAAACACTGTTGCTCTTGACATGGAAAGACACAGACACAGTCAGAATCTGTGCATCAGTCCTGCGTCGGTGCTGTGGGACTGAAACAATTCAGTGATTCAACAATTCAGTATTAGTTTATTTTGAATTTACTCCTGCAAGCACATAATTACAGACACAGCTCGATTCCACTGTCAATATGTCAGACACAAAGATTTTGTGGATGCAAAGTTGTTGTTGTGGGTTAGTTATTTCCTGTTTTTTTTTCAAATTTCGATACCAGCTAAGAAAAAGCTTCAATACATTCGTGATGGTGTCAGGGGTTGCTCTAAACAAAGTCGCACGATCTCCCCAGCTGAGCTAATATATCACTTCCTGCCTCTGCCTCCTACATCCGGCTTTCCCACCTCTCGCCTGAACAATGCAGAAGATTTGATGCCGTTGTGAACACGCCTTTGCAGAGAACCTCCCGCTGTGTTGTGCATGTGTGAAAGAAAGACTGCGGGTAAACTCTGTAGCTAGTTCTCTGGATTTTACCCGTAGGTCATGTCTGAAAACGGGTAAATTGAATAAAGTTTATCATCGCAGCTGTTAAACCCACTCACAGACCATCACATAATCTGAAACAGTTGCCTTTTAGCCTCTTTTTATGAATATTATTAGCATTACAGGGTTATTTTTTTCTTCTAACAATCTTTTTGACACTAGTCACATCCAAGTGTTAATGAGAGAGTCCATTAAAACCTCAGAGCAGATGTTCAGGTTTGGCTGCTGTGGTCTGTGTGGACTGGAAAGCTTTCGCAGTCACTAAATGTGTTTCCTTTTGTATCTCCTCTTCCTGCTCATCCTCCATAAGCAATTATGTATTTTCAGGCCGTTCATGTTTTTAGCGCCGTGCTCCCACTGTCACAAAAATGTATGCCAAAAAAAGAGAATTTTAGCATTCTAAATTTAATCTTGTATGGAAGTCTGAATGCATTCAGAATATCCATGAACCGTGGGGTAGTTTTATTGTACAATGAAGGAGGTAAACAAAATCACGGTATGCCTACTCATTTCAGAAAAAGAAAAAAATGTACCAAGGTAAAAGTGTTTCTTGAAGTTAAAGCTGATCCCATCTGAATGAAACATCAGAAAAGATTCATACAGTATATTTACATACCTGGATAAAATGGTTGGTGATAAAAGTGTTTTTGCAAAAAGGTGGTGATAAGTCATCCTTTAAAACATAAACTGATGTGTCAGCCTGCTTCTTAGATATTAATTCTATAGAATAATACATCAGTCTGTTTGGTGTGTTTAAGTTTGTGTTTGTCTAAAATGCCTTTGTGTAGATGCATCGTTGCTCTTAGTCCTCGACAGTAGTGGCCGTAATGGGAATGATTTGAACAGTATATGGGATCCATAATATTTGGCATTTACCCATGCTAATTATCTGGAGAACGGCTGTCAGGCCTCTCTAATTACTATGATTGATCCATCTAAAGAGGTGCTTGAAACACTGTGGATGCAGACTGTAGCTTTTGCCCGGACACAGTGCAGACACACACACACACACACACACACACACACACACACACACACACACACACACTAAAACCTTGAGCTCTTGCCTTGTTGCGTGTTGGCATTTGTGTTTCATTAAAACTGCCAGGAACCCCGAGCCCCTCTAGCATGACTGGCACAGTCACACATGTGATGTGTGTCCCACAATCTGGAGTTTGCCTATTAACTCTTGTGCTGAGCCAGCAACACACTGATTCAGATGTGCTCATCATAGACTCTGCCGCCATCCATCACAACGCGATCCTTTTATCATCTCCAGTAAATGATTGTAAATGTTCTTTGCCTTAATTTGGCGAAGCGAGTGATGATTGAATGTATAATTTCAAATGCCAACTATGTAAAATAAACAGCGTCAGTTGGAATCTGCTGTTTCTCACGGACAATGTTTTCCTATAATTGAGTCAATCCCTCAAAAGCTCAAAGCCGCAAGTCAGCCTTTCTACAGATACAGTAGAATGAAAGGACAAATGAAAATTAAACAAATCTCAACACTACTTTTTGATTTGAATTGCAGTTTTTTTTCACCAACAATCACCCAAATGATCACTATGTTGTACACTCTACTCCAAATAGTGGAAGAAGTGGACACGTATTCTCCATTTTTATTAACAGTCTTTAGTCAGGACATAGAATATCATTCATAGGTTGTAAATTTTAATTAAAAAAACATGTAAATGTAAATTTTTTAGCCATGCTAGTGTCCCCATCATTAAAACATTGAACTACGTAAAATGAACCGAGTACAAGGTTGACATCATTTCACTTTTAAGTGTGTTTGTATCAGTTGCCTTAACCCTTGAAAATCACACAAGGCCAAACAATAACAATCATAACTTTTTCATTCAATGTTGGGACATTTACTGTAAATATGTTTGATATGAACTTGAGTGGTATACAGGTAAACATCATTTTAAATTTATATTACAAGCACAGGAGGGCAAAACAAGTCTGGAATAACATTTACCATTGGTAAACATACAGTGTTGTCTGTCTGACAAAATGTTTGTATGATTTATATCTCTATTTTCAAATCAATCCATCAGGTTGAGAATTTATTGGTGTTTTTCAGCCTGAAAAAAAATTTAATTTAAAAAAGCAATTTAACTGAAGTTTTAGGAAAGAGCCTTTTGCTCATTTCCGAATGGGCACATTTGCATGATTGTCCCATAATGCCTGAATTAGCATCTGTAAATCTTAATTCGATAATGCATCTCCCTGAAAGAGGTAGCAGGATGGAATTGGATTACAGTCTTGGATCTCATTAGGGCTGTTTGACAAAGGTCCTTTTCATAACACTGCGATGCCATCAGCTGAAATTTGAGTAAAATTAATTCCTTTTCATAGTGGTGCATCGGTCTGAAACCATCCTCTTAATTATGCTCTCTCCCTTTCAACTCTCGTCCTTTCTCCTTCAGCGAGAATCTCTTATCTTCTCAAACACTTCGCCACAGCGCTCAGATTTTCAGATAGTTTGTAATCTCATGTCATCAATAGGTTTCTCAACTCAGGAGCTGTTTGTCCTCTTAGACTGTGTCTCTATCAGGAAATAAACATTGCCTTTTTTGGAGAAATTATTTCAACACACTCATGTTTGGTAATCGAGTAAACAGAGGAGAAACAGTAATGTGATTCCAGATGTGGTGCAGAGTGGGGAGTAAAAATTCTTTAAAATTAATTCAGAATGGGTCTTTTACCTGTTATGATATGTGTGTGTGTGTCAGCTTAGTACCTTCCTGTCAACCTCTTTTGTTTTCTCTTTTATTCAATATGCAAACAGTCTCTCCTCTGATGTCTCTGTTTTCTTTCTCTTTCAGGAATCCAGAATAAACTGCATCCGCATCGCTCGCAAAGGTAATTCAACATAAATATTTCCCTGACACTGTGACCTTGAAGGCTTTCTCCTGCATCGTTTGAGTGCTTTGCAATCGAGCCAAAATCCTCATTGCTCTATAAGATTGGAAATGAAGGTCTACTTGTAATGGCGTGCTTTGCCCATAGTCTCTCTGCATTGTTATTTACCTCTCTGTCAAGTGCAAAGGTGGAGGGGGTCATCGACAAATTTTCTCTGCCGGTCGTAGTTGTTCAGCAGTGGGCCTCAAAGAAAAGGGCAACAAGCAGGGAGGGATTAGAGGTCAGGCTTTCATCCTGTTTGTTTGGGGGCAGATGCTGGGACACACCGTATCAAAGGCAGCCTCTCTGTTCTCATCAGCGGCTCAGTAGACGGCTACATCTGAGGGCTTTGACCTCTGCTTGGTCCAGAAGGGTCCTCCAGATCAAAAATTCCAGATGGAGCTACCTCGGCAGTGCAAAAGCTCCCACCTCCCTCCCGTTCTGCAGCTCAGGTCTTAGATACAAAGGGACATGAAAAGGGCAGAGAAATTGACTCTAAGTCCTGATGGCAGGAGAGCCCCTGTGCCATGGTACACTGTCAGATCATGCTCAATAAAAGTCATGTATTTATAGTTTTCATAGCACAGCTACAGAAAGCAGAGAATCTTGCAAAGTAAATTGACTTGGCGGGGTGTCTTTTTTTGGTGAAGGCCTCTTTCTGTGAGTGAAAAACGAAAGAGATGAGGCTCTCCTCAAGCATAAAGCCAAAAGGCAAGGCCAGCCATTTCAGCTCAGCGTCTCACTCCATCTGCCCTCACAGACACCCGGTTGGGCATTGATTAATTATGCTTTCTCAGTGCAGTGGGCTTTACACTGTGCTTGCCTCTATTCTTCCACAGTAAGCAAAGACAGGGAAAAAAAGAAATGCACATGGAGCTCTAGTGGTTGTAAAATGATTGTATTGTATTGTGTAAGAAAGCAGGATACAAGGGAAGATAAAGAAAGAAAGAAGAGAGAAAATGCACAATGGAAATATAATGATTTTAAACACATTACGTCATCTACATGCAGGGTTATGCATCCGGGAAGAAAAAACTCTAAAAGGTAAATTCAAAGGAAACAAATTCTCTGGTTGATATCCAATTTCAAGGTGCAAAGGGTCAGAGGAATTTCTTGTTGCTGCTTGTGATCCCTCTACCATTACCATAGCCTCTGCATCATCGCTTCCTAAGCAGTTATTATCACGCAGACCATCAAAAGTAAAGTGGAGGCAAATGATTCTGGCTTGGATAACAGAGCTGGAGATTACATTTCAACTTCCAGGTGACAGTTTAATTAAGGATCCTCTGGCAGGCTCAACACAATAGACTTCCATTTCTTCTCCCTCTAAGTGCCAATTCCCACCATCAGGGCAGCTGGCAGGTGCATGGATTCATGTGGAAATCTATTTCATGCTCACGTTTGGCTCAATAGAAAATGTTGTGGCTAAATGTGGCAAAACCGCCTTATCTGTCCAAAATGTCAGAAACCTGAAATTGATTTTTCTCCCCCTCATCTGCATTCTTCAGCCAGTTAAGTTGCCCTGTATTTCACTCGCGGATGTAATTTTAAATGAAGTCACGGCATAAAGTAAACAGCAAGTGCTGAGTTTGCATCTGAGGCTTGTTTGTTGAATGCAGAACCAACAGATTGGCTGAAATCTCTGTTATTTTCAGTTACAGTTGCTCACAGACACAAAGGCAAGGCGGTGATTGTGTCCTTGTGAAAGAGGAAAAACAACAACAAAAAGTAATCTTTGATTCACCGTCTGACTGAACCTTCTATTTGCACAACTGCAAATGTACTGCAAGTATAACCCTCAGAAATTGTGTCTGAAAAAGAAGGATATGTAATATAGGAATCCATTCATCTATTATCTATACCGCTTATCCTTTGAGGGTCCCAGGGGGCCCAGCTGACATTCAGCGAGACACAGGGCACAAGGACTCACACAATTTAAAGTCTTAGATTAACCTAACCCCAATCTGCATGTTTTTGGACTATAGGAGGAAGCCAGAGTACCCAAAAATGACCCACACAGGGAGAACATGCACAGGTTTAGCTGGGATTCTAACCACTAACCACTACTCCTCCGTGCTGCCTGTTATATTGGATTAGAAACACTTCCTTTCTGATATCAGGCAAATTACTTATTTTCATGCCATATGCCAGATACCAATCATTGATTAGAAAAAATCTTGCCAAATAATGAAATTACATTGTCCCACTTTCATCTTTATTTGGGAAAAGAGTTCTGAAGCAGCCATAAAATGCCCACGGCTGCAGATAGTTGGGCTAAAACATGGCTCTGTTTTCATTTTCCCTGCCCCAGATCTGATTCTTCCCCCAGCAGGCTGCAAGATAGAGCTCTATCCCCAGGCCTGCTCTGACTTTCTACTGCTCTCCAGATAGGTTGTGTTGTTCCAATAAGCTCAGAAGGGCTAGTTTTAGGGCTGTCGAGGCCTGGAGGACAGCCTGACACACCGAAAAAAACTAGATCAGTGGGACTTTACAACAAGGCAAAGAAAGGCCTGCTGCTCAGCGCCATTTACATAAGTATGAAGCTTTGTATTTGAGAGATGAATAACCTGCTCATATGATTACAACCTTTCCAGTAGCTCTCAGACATCGGGGCACCTTGGGATTATAATGTAGGGCTGTGTGGATGACTTGTGCCTGGGAAAATTATTATTTAATTCAGTTATGAATTAAAAAACATCAAAGAGCCAGTGCATGTAACATTGCATTAAAATACTCTAGTGCAATATTAGAAGCATAAAGAGACAGTTATTGAGCTACTCAAAGATGAACAATAGATGGATGAAAAATGTGTTGAAAGCCTTTTTTGTTTGTGACTAATGAATCTTAGCAAATGAGTTTCAAGTCTTACTTTGGCATATTTGCAACACTTGTGAAAATAATTTCCTCCTCTACACTCATTTATAGCAGTCTGTTCATTTTCTCTTCTCCATTTAATTTCAGTGAAAAATGTGGAGCAGTCCTACTAGCTTGTTGGAAACCTCTCAAACAATCAAACTCGTATTCTGCGCACAATCCCGTCATTTTGTTCGTCGAAGCACAGCTTGTCTTTGTGTATATCTGTAGCTTGTTGGCCTAAATGCATCACATCTGTATTTACGTCTGTATTTGTACAATAGCATTGCCTCGAAAATATATGTTTGACATTGAAAATATTATTCAGTAGATCTCCTCAAAGTGAGCCTCTATATTCTCATGTGTCAACAAAGTTGTATTGTGCATGAATGAAAAGTTCTTCAAAGCTGTGAATTTTCTATTTTATTTTATTTTCAGTTTTTCATGCTATTTGGCTTCAAACTACTGCAAATCAGTTCCTTAAGACCTTCACTTCCCCTGTGTACAATATTTGCATCACACCTTTTTAAACGGGCATCTGCCTTTTCCTTTTAGCCGCCTGCAAGGACCACCGCAAGGCTTTGGAGGTGTCCCAGCACTCGGAGGAGATGGGGCTGATTCTTGGGGTGTGTGCCGGGGGCCTGGTGGTCCTCATCCTCCTGCTGGGTGCTGTCATCATCATCATTAAGAAAGGGTAAACATCTGCTGATAACTGTTTGAGCACAAAACATGCCTCATTAAGCACAGTCATACCACATCTTCCACATTGTTTTTTCCCTTCATGTTTTGTTTTGGAGCAGTTCGGTTTTTTTTATACTTGCTGAACTTTCCGAAAGGGCACGTTTGTTTGGGGATGATGCTGGACCCACAACCAGCGCCGCATTGTTTGCACTCCCTCATGGCGCAGCAGAGGGACCAAACAGCCCTCATCTGCAGAGCCTATCTGAGTGTGAAGTATTTAATTAAAGACGGATTCAATTCAATTAGCCACTTAATTACGCACACCAAGCAGAGGCCTGACCCTTAAATGAGATGGTAATTGGGAGGGAAAAGGTGCTTTTAGAGATTATTAGCCAATGATCCCACACGTCTACAGTAGCTCATCTACACCTCTGGCTCTGTATTCATTTAGCGGCAGCTGACGGCAGGCCTCAGTTTAGATCTCAAACAAGGCATAACCTGTCTTACTTAGATAAGATATAGTGTCATGCCAAAAATAGAAGTTACTCCAGCAATCATTATTAAATGGTTGACATATCCGTCCAGGCTAATATTGAATAATGTTGATTTTTAAAGTCACCGCTCCTCTGCACATTAGCCTCAGAGTTCCTCCGTTAAGCCACCGTGAATCTCGCTCTTAGGGAATTGATTGCTAGATTTGCTGTGACAGAAAGCCACGTGGTCGGGTCCTTGAAGTGTAAAATCGAGACATATTCCATTGAAGGGAAATGCACATTTTCTGCGTCACCGCGGCTTCGGCTGGGAACGTCCGCATGTGTCATATGGCCACCTTCACAGGCGAGCTCGTGAAGAGGATGGTTCTCATCTTCACTGTGATCAATGCTTTCTGCCCTCAGCTGACATTGCTTTCATCTTACATTTCTTCTTTCTCTTGATTTTTCTTTCCTCCTTCTACTGCACTCTTGCCAGAAGGGACTACTACTCTTACTATCCGTAAGTGACTTGCTTTTCCATCATCTTGTGATCCATCATACACATGCATGTGCTCTGGCTGTCAGTCATAAGTCACAGAGGGAAAATGAAGTTTTTCTATACTTCATCACCCTGTTTCTCTTAGTTATTACCTCATTGTTGTTCTTTACCGAATGGTGTTGGCTTTTCCTCCCTCTCTTTTACCATCTCTCCTAAACTCCAATTACTCCTCCATTCTCCTCTATCTCCATTAATAGGAAGCCAGTAAACATGAATAAGACGCCCATTACGTATCGACAGGAGAAAAGTCATATGGGCTCCATGGAGCGTAGTTTCACCGACCAGAGCACCCTGCAGGAGGATGAAAGGATGGCTCTTTCCTTCATGGATGCCCACACCTGCGGGACTCGAGGTAAGATACATGCATAGTACAGTGTACACAAACCTGATAATAATGCAATTATGCATAATGCAACTCCAAAACTCGATGCACATCATCCTTCACTCTGTATTCTTGTTGACCGTCACTCATTCACTCGATAATTACGCCTGATAGAATTCTGAGAGATAGTTGTCACCCTCTCATGAAACATATTCTTTCACACCCTCAGCTATTCACCGCCTGCAGCCGTTACACAAAAGAATATCACAAGATTTCAAGGGAAGCACCATATTTGAATGAATCAAATTTTTTGATTGATGTCAGCACTTCATCTTGATCTCCTCTCTAATGTTGTCAGTTTCATTGAAAGGGAAAAAATAGATGTGTTTACTCAAAAGTTGATATAGATCCTGGTCTGCTTCACTCACCACCCTTCAGAGGCAGAGCTGCTGTCACTTCTCCTTAAGATCTATGACGAAGATGTCACTTATCAAAGTGGCACACCTGTATCATATACTGTTACGTACATAAACTGTATGAGTCCATATCAGCATGCAGTGTGCCAAATCTGCTAACACCACCGTGTGGCATCCCATAGTAAAGGCAAAAGGTGCTACAAGTTACTGAATCTTTTATATCATACCATGTCGTGCTCATAAATCTTTCAACCTGCAGTTGCACCAAAATTGCAAATGTGTGTGTATCTGATTCAGGTGATGCTCGTAGTTCAGTGAATGAAGCCAGCAGCCTGCTGGGAGGCTCCCCGAGGCATCAGTGTGGACGTAAAGGCTCCCCCTACCACACAGGGCAGCTCCACCCTGCGGTCCGAGTGGCCGACCTCCTCCAGCATATCAACCAGATGAAGACTGCCGAGGGCTATGGCTTTAAACAGGAATATGAGGTGAAAAGACGCTATTTAACTTTTCCCTTACACTCTGACAGCATGACACAACACTGACGGCCCTTCAGGGATTCAGACAGATCCTTAAAACTCTTTTTGAGATTCACTGTGTAAAATGTCTTAAAAAGACCAGAATTAGAAGTGAGCTATCAAATATGATCCAGGGCACAATTAATGAGCAAGTGTATTTTTAGAAATTTTGTATGTTTTATATTTTATATTCATTACCCATTTGGTTTGTACATTAATTAAGTAGTGTACTCTCCACTCGGTAAGGGGGCGGTGGTGCCTGTAATATTCTTTTAAAAGGACATGATTTTTCTGGGTCTGATATCAGGGTGTTGGAAAAACATAAGTTCTACACGCATCAAGTTGTTCGCTGCTCCTACTGCTAGTTTGGCTCTACGTAATGATTCGAGAGGATTTGTCTACTGTGAATTAGTCCACTCTGGCAAAACCTTCAGGTCCTACAACTAGGTTTCAGACAGCATTCAGCACTTTTTCTCTGGATCCTTGGATGACTTGTGTGATCAGTTCTCTGAGCTCGTTCCACAGCATTTTTTATTGGGATGAAGTCCTGGCTCTGACTTCGTCACTCATACGTCTGGCTCATAGACCTGCTGCATCCTTCAGCTCCATCTGAGCTTCACCTGGTGGACAGTCACAGTGAAATTATACTTTGAGAAACATAGGAATTAAAACCCTGAAAGTAAAATGCACTGCAATCGAGTCTAGTTGTGTCATTATTTATGTTTTCTCAGACAGGACACATGCTTTTATTTTAATCAAGTGTATGCTTGAGGTTACTTGAAACAATCAATAATTAATCAGAAGTGATTATATGGTAACAG